GTCCCTTACAAGTTATATATTCTAGTTTTAAAGATGTATAGCTTCATCAAGAATGAATTCTCTTGCTGTGTAGCCAGTTTGTAAAAGTGTAAGATTGTGATAACTTCTACTATGAGGAAATGTGCACAAGAAAAGTGTATTGATGCTTTTGTTTTGTTTTTTATAGTTTCCATCAGCATTCTTCCAAGGGCAAGCTGACTTGTGTGGCTCATTTTGTTATGAGATTCTTAAGTGTTGTAATCACAGATCACAGTCAACACAGATGGAAGCCTCTGCTCTGCTTTATTTTTTCATGAGAAAGAACTTTGAATTTAATAAGCAAAAGTCAATAGTAAGGTCCCATTTGCAGGTAAGAAAATATTACTGTGGAAACACTGTGGAACAATTATTGCCTGAAATTTCTCATGATGTTATAGTGTTACTGCATTTATTCATTTGAGAAATGGAGCAAAGTATATTTGCAGATCACAGAATGCTCTTGTCCGGGGATGTCAAACTGCCGGCCCATGGGCCGGAAGCGTCATGAAGAAACCGCGCCCACCCCATTGCCGGCAATGGGGAAAAAGTTCTGATACGTCACACGACATCACGTGACGTCGCGAGTTTGACATGTTTGCTCTTGTCTGTTTTATTCCATTCTTACTTTAAATTTTATTTTAGATTGTTAGATGCTCAGAATGATGATGCTAACATAATGACTATAAAAACTACAGTAATAACAATGGCTTCAATATTCTTTTGCTATCTCAAGCTTGATATTCTATAGAAATATCTTAAGGTTTCCAGGTCCTCAGCCTTAAGATACAGAATTACTTTGGAAATGCAACTCATAGGACAGTGATGGCGAACCTTTTAGAGACCAAGTGCCCAAACTGCAACCCAAAACCCACTTATGCATCGTTGGGTGCTGGGTGGGTGTGGCCCATTGGCTGGGTGTGGCCCATTGGATGGGCATGTCTGCGGTGGTAACGGCAGACTGGGTGGGACTAAAAAGTTCAATCAATCAATTCCAACTTTGCAAGATCTTTTTTTTTCCCGCGGGAAATTAAAATTGACTGATTGATTGAACACTTTTTTTTTTGCACATGGCAGCGGAGGCCTAAAGCGAAAAGGTTTTATAAAACCCAGCTGAAGGCCTAGGACTGGGGCAACGGCGCGCGTGCCCACAGAGAGGGCTCTGAGTGCCACCTCTGGCACCCGTGCCATAGGTTCGCCACCACTGTCATAGGACAAAATATTTTCCTTCCTATTGAAATACTGTTTAGCAGAATGTATATATTCATTCATAACTATTCATAACTAATAGTGGGACTCCTACAGGCAAAAAATGTTATCCGATTCATTTTTGTAAAAAAATTGCTTACCAAAATTTAAATTTCTTCATGTTTAATATAGAAAGATTTTAATTATTATTACTATTTATTTTATTCTTACACTACACATATTCTTAAGAGAAGGATAAGAATTAAACAATTAATGTGAGAAAAAGGGGAAACTGCTAAAAACAATCTAATGCCAGTTACTAGTTTTCTCCTTGAGCACAAACAGAGATTGAGAAAACAATCATTGTCTAATACATTTTGCTGGTGGTTCTTCTGAGAAGCAAGTTTCTCAGCTTGGTGATCTGTCTTCATATTCTCTTTTCTTGTCATCACTTCAGCTCATCAAGGCTGTAAGCCAACTGATTGCAGATGCAGGAATTGGAGGTTCTCGATTTCAGCATTCTCTGGCAATTACAAATAATTTTGCTAATGGAGACAAACAGATGAAAGTAATTTATATATTTATTTATTTATTTAAGTTGTTTATTTGTTTATAGTAATTTTTTTTGCATTCTTATGAAAATGGATATTTCCCCAGTAGTGACTTGTAGTGTCTTTAAGAATCAGTCCGCCATCTTTGAGTTATATGAAGCTCATCCTCATTATTTCTCTATCAACATAATGAAGGTTGGATAGCCATAGGGGAAAAAAAAGTTACTGGGGATCTTGTCTAAAGGTGGGTGGATCCCAAAGTATTTTTTTCTTTGTTGCTATCTCAGATGTTTTGCCAAATTGGAATATGTGTTACAATATGATAATTGTTGGAAAATGTATTATATATCAATTCATATGTCATTAAAAACATACTAGTGATAATAACTCTCTCAAGACCCAAGTTTGACATGCTAAAGAAATATCTATTGCAACCATGTTCAAACATGATAAGCCTTTGATTTCCATCACAAATACTGAAAAAAAAAGTTCAGTGAAAGAAAAGTTATTTGATTATGGATAGCTAGGAAGAGGAAACAGCAAACAATGTATTATGACATTGTTATGATGCATGCAATAGTTGTATTTATCAGGTATCTGACTTATTCCAAATAGATGTCATTTAACATGATAATAGAGATTTTGTGAACTTAAATTCCCTTATTCCTCTTTCCAAAAGAACAGTAACTTCCCAGCAGAAGTGAAAGACTTGACCAAACGCATAAGAACAGTTTTAATGGCTACGGCTCAAATGAAGGAACATGAGAAGGATCCTGAGATGCTGGTGGACTTACAGTACAGCTTGGCAAATTCATATGCAAGTACACCTGAATTACGTAGGACCTGGTTGGAGAGTATGGCCAAAATTCATGCAAGAAATGGAGACTTATCTGAGGTACTCATCTGAAACTGATAAATTATTTTGCAATTTTAAAGGGCTTGAAATAAACCCTAAAGAACAAGAATTCAATATCACCTTTCTGTTTCAACCAAGCATGATATTTGAGGAACAACTTTAAGCAACTTTGTATCCTAAAGCAGGGTATTTTCTAAAAATTGTACCCAAATACATATTTGTGGGTTTGCATTCAAAACAGGGAACCATTTAATCAGTAGCGGAATTCAGGAGATTATTAAATTCAGGCACTATGTTAATTTTCAGTGTAGTTGTCTTGGTACCCCAGCATTAAACAAATCTTAAGCTCGTTCTACAATTTCTTTTTATACAGGAGTATGATTTTGTCATAATCCATTAGTAGCTTTAATGATAATGTGGACAGCAGGAAAATATGACCTAATACTCTACATGTTCTCTGTTTTTCATAAGAAATAGCAATCAAAATACCAGGGTATCCTATATAACTTGTGACCTAGAATGCAGTTGTCATAACAGCCATGATGACCTTCCAGTGTCTAACATTTCTTTAATTATCAGTATTTTATTCTAAGAACTTTTATGAGATGTCTATTAGGACTTGTCTTGTGTACTGAATCAAGAAGAGTAGATATAAAATTCAATGTAGAGAAAAATAAAGTTTATACTTAGGTAGGAAAAATCAAAGGTACAAGTACAGTTTGGATGAGACCTGGCTTAAAAACAGTAACTATGAGAGGGACCTTGGAGTCCTACTGGACGATCACTTAACCATGAGTCAGCAGTGTGCAGCAGCAGCCAAAAAAGCTAATACAATCCTGGGTTGTATAAACAGAGGCATAGAATCAAGATCACATGAAGTATTAGTACCACTTTATAAAACTCTAGTAAGACCACACCTGGAATATGCAGCCAATTTTGGTCACATATCACAAAAAAGATGTTGAGAGTTTGGAAAAAATTCAGAGAAGAGCAACTAAGATGATCAAAGGCCTGGAGAATAAAACATACAAAGAACAGCTACAGGACTTGGGTTTGGCTAGTCTAAAGAAAAGAAGAAATAGGGGAGACATGATAGCAGTATTCCAGTATTTGAGGGGCTGCCACCAAGAAGAGGGGATGACGTTATTCACCAACCCTCCAGAGGGCAGGACAAGAAACAATGGTTGAAAACTGATCAAAGAGAGAAGCAACCTGGAATTAAGGAGAAACTTCCTGACAGTGAGGACAATTAACCAGTGGAACAGCTTGCCTCCAGAAATTGTGGGCGCTCCATCACTGGAGATTTTTAAGAAGAGGCTAGACAGTCACTTGTCTGAGATGGTATAGGTTCTCCTGCTTGAGCAGGGGGCTGGACTAGAAGACCTCCAAGTCCCTTCCAGCTTCTATTCTATTCTATTCTATTCTATTCTATTCTATTCTATTCTATTCTATTCTATTCTAAAATGGGATACATGAATGTCATCTCACACTTCCCATAAAAACAGCAACAAAGAAAGATGTAACTGAGGAACTCCATGGAGACAGACCCACATGAGCATATGCTCTGCTCAGTTTGTGTTTTTATAATGCCCCCATACAACTGCAGAAGATAGTGCATCTAACCTAGCCACGGTGAATGTATAGTGAAATTTCAGAATTAGAATGGAGGAGCGAGAGGAGGGTGGCATGTACCCATTTTAAAAATATCCATATTCTGTAGTGTTGAATACCAGGCTTAGTCTGATTTGGAAACCAATGTGCCAGATACACTGCTTCTCATAATTCTTGGCATTTTCAAACATCATTTTTCACACTAATATATCGATCCAGATGAGCTGGGATCTTTTTGTTGTTATTCTTTTATAAAAACATACTAGTATTTGTGAAGATTAAGAAGATTTGCATCCTGTAACATTTTTAAAAAAATATATTGCTTTTAAAATAATAACAGAAAAAACTAAAGGAATAAAACACAAAGATGTATCCATTATAAAAAATGCATAAGTGCTTTAAAATAAGTGAAAAATACAATAAAAAATAAGATATAGAATATACTCTATGTTGTTACAATAATAATTCTATAGATAATTATCTAATATAAATATTATTTGAGTATGTGTGTGCATGTGTATCGTGTATATAACATGTGACCATCGTGCTTTTTTTTAACTCACTGTATTTTGTATAAATGTCCCATATTTCCTTATATTTATCCATGCAAAGTCTACTTCAATAGGCAATCAATTCACAGGTAGCAAGTTAATCAGAGCTTTAATCCACTGAGTAAATGGGGCCATACATTTATATTTCCACTCTGCAATATCAATCTTTTGCTGTAATAAGGGCAAAAAGACTCCATTTACATTGTCCAATTGTAAAAGGTATAACAGGTATGCAATTCAAGAGAATATTCCCCTCTGAGAATATTAGCTTTTGTTTTACTTCTTTAACATTAAAACTTACCAGCATCTCTATTTGCAGGCTGCAATGTGCTACATCCATATAGCTGCCCTTATTGCTGAATATCTGAAGAGAAAGGGTAAGATACAGCACATTTAAAAGGTTTGATTGGTTTAGAAAAGAGTAAGGAGGGAACAGAAATGATTAAAACCCATTTTATGAAATTTATGAGTTTTTGTATTTATTCTTTAAACTGATTTGACTCTTCTCAGATATTTCCCATTAAGATAGAAAATAGTAAAAATATTTCATGTTGTATAAACATTCCATTTTGCCTAAGAATCAAGTTTCATATATTTGTGTACTATTTTTCTTTTCTTTGAGATGAAAAAAATATTATTGTTCCATACCATGGCTTAGATAAATAAACATGCATGTATTAACACATACAAGTAACCAAATGCTAATAACATTTCACACTACCATAGGTTACTGGAAAATGGAAAAGATTTGTACCTCTCGCCTGTTCCTGGAAGATGCTGAACTCTCTGATAATAATATCTTACTAACAACTCACCTTGGAGGAAGTGAGTGTTCTAACCATGACCATTTATGGGCTGGACAACATTGGAAGAACCCCATTTGTATATATTTAATGAAAGGAGACTTTTCAATAGCCCTGTCCTAAATCTATTGATGCCAGTCAGCTTGGAAAATGGAATTTTCAGTTCCTCCTGGTATCAATTCTCACAGTCAGTGCCCATTGACACTGGTCACTGTAAACAGTGCCCATTGACACTAATCAGTGTTTCTCAACCTTGACAATTTTAAGGCATGTGGACTTCAACTCCCAGAATTCCACAGCCAGCATTGCTGGCTGTGGAATTCTGGGAGTTGAAGTCCACATGCCTTAAAATTGTCAAGGTTGAGAAACACTGCAACAGTGCCATTGAGATTCCAGAGACCTTGCTTGAGAACAGCAAATTCTGCTGTTACATAATAGATTTCCAAACATCTTCCTTTGCTATCATTATTCCTTGAAAAAAATAAGCTTGGGAAAGGCTAGTGAGCTGAAGGTTTCTAATTTAAATCATATTGGGACCAAGTTTTAAAAAATTGTGGCTTCATGTAAATCAGTATCAATACATATTTTAATATGTGTAACCAGACTTAACTTAATGTATTCCATATTTATATATCCTTTATCCTATTGACACATATTTATAAAAAAAAAACTTTTTAAGAACTCTGAGAACACTATACATTTCAGAATCATAAATATTTTAACACATCCTTATCCTTTTGGCTCTCATTGGGAGTTTCTCAAAGAATGCCTTTAGATGAGAAGATTTTTTTGCCAAAATTACCAAATTATAACTACCTAGCTATAAACTACAGTGTTTACAAGAGACTTAATAATATTGATAGTATTTGTAATAAGCTATTATATGTAATGTCTTTGTATTTTTACTACAATTATTTAAATAATTGTTACTGAAACATTGATAAGACTTTTTCTTTTGTTTGAAAAGGCTTGTTTTCTATGGGATGGCCAGCTTTTCTCAATATTACACCAAATATTAAAGAAGAAGGAGCAATGAAAGAAGACTCTGGAATGCAAGATACACCATACAATGAGGTTAGCAATGTTATTCTTCTTAATTGACCTCAGGTATGTTTTCTTCACAGTTTTCAGTAAGTCCTATATCCAGCGGAGCATAGTTAGAATCATAATTACCTTTATTTCTTTTTTAAGACATTGAAATTGCAAAAAAAATCTTATTTTGCATCACAGACTTGATGTTCCTTCTTAACTTGCAGGACATCCTTGTGAAACAGCTGGAATTATGTGTTGACTATCTCTGGAAATGTGAAAGATACGAACTCATTGCTGAAGTAAACAAGCCAGTCATTGCAGTATTTGAGAAACAAAGAGATTTCAAAGTAAGAAATCTTTTTATACTGTGTATACATAGTCTACAACTAAACTGACTTGCTCAACAAAATAAAAAGTGCTTATTGTGTTGTTCATGTGTACCTTTTTAATATGAGACTGCATTATGAATAGATAGATTTCCATATATGTTGTTGCATGAAAAAGGAGTATTAGATACTCTAATTAATGTTTTGAAAAACACAATGTACAGTTATTTATGCAGCTTTTCTCTTTAGAACACACAGGACAAGTAGGAAAATGTGATCTCACTTCCATATACTGTAGATGAAAAATGCAAATTTGATTTGCCATCTCTAATTATTTATTCATTTATTTATTTACTTTATATCCCACCTTTATTATTTTCACAAATAACTCAAGGCATATAACATATCCAGCACACCTTCCTCCTTCTATTTTCCTCATAAGAACAACCCTGTGAGGTGAACTGGGCTGAGAGAGAATGACTGGCCGGCTTTCCTGGTTAAGGCGGGACTTGTACTCATGGTTTCCTGCTTTCCAGGCTAGTGTTTTAATCACTAGACCAAATGGCTCTTTATATATGATTATATATATATAGCGCCACCCCCATAGGGACCGCTTAAGTCCGGGCCCTCCTGACCTCCCCTCCAAGTGGCCACCAGCCCAAAGAGGTCTCTCACGTTGGCGCCTCTGCCTAACAGGGCACGTAACACGGTGGTATTTAGTCACCATCGGCAGCCACGCACATGGGGCAGTGATGGTCGCTCTCTCTCTGCGGTGACTCACGTGGGATGATGGTGGTTGATCTCAGGCAATAAGAACTTACAGGGAAGATGATAGTCAATCTCTACTGACAACAACTTGCCCAGAACGATGTTAATCAGCTTCTGGTGGCAGCAACTTGCCTAAAACAATGGCGATCAGTCTCTGGTGGCAACAACTTGCCCAGAATAGTGGGGGTCAATCTCTGGTGACAGCAACTTGCCTAAAACAATGGCAGCCAGTTTCTGGTGGCAACAACTTGCCCAAGACAATGTTAATTCATCTTTGATGACAACAACTTGCCTAAAACGATGGCAACCAATCTCTGGCACTGGCAGAGGCCTCCCTTGTCCGCTCTCCTTGCCCCTCTCTGACCTCACTCCATGTAATCCCTTTTTATCTCCCCCAGCTGATCCTATAAAGAAAAAATCCCTTACTCCCACTAAAAGACATATGTCAAACTCTTCCCTAACTCTCCCTCTGCCTAACTTACTCCAACGAGGGAAAGGAATTAAACCTCCCCAAACTACCCTCTCTCCCACTCTTCGTCTGGCCTGCCCACAATGAAGGAGAAAGAAACAATAAAACTTCACCTTTCCTGATGCCTCAGTCTCTCTCTCTCTCTCTCTCTCTCTCTCTCTCTCTCTCTCTCTCTCTCTCTCTCTCTCTCTCTCTCTCTCTCTCTCTCTCTCTCTGTGCCTGGCCTGCTTCAAGCAAACAGCTCCGGCAAGCTAGTTCCACTCTCTCTCTCTCTGTGCCTTGCCTGCTTCCGGCAAATGGCTCCAGAAACTACTCTCACCCTCTATCCCCCCCCTGCCTGACCTGCTTCAAGCAAACAGTTCCAGAAACTACTCTCACTCTTTCAATCCCTCCCCCTCTCATCTGGCTTGCCTGTAACGAAGCAAAAAAAGCAAACGCGAAAACCCCAGCTTCTTACTGTCTCTTCAATCAGCTGGCTTAGAATGGCAAGCTCCACCAAGCCTTCTCTCTTCCTCCCTTCTATCTGCTTCCTCCTCCTTTTTCTTCCCTCCTCCGAGCCACTCCATGCCGCCAGACCCATAGCAGCTGCCGGAGCTCCTCATCTTCCTGCCTAATCGGCAGGGCTCCTGCAAAGCCTCTCAACTAGCCCCATTCTCATCCCAACTCTGCTACATATAATTCATACTATAATTATAAATGTGTTTGAACACATGCCTCCTAGATAGTTCCAGATGGAGGACACTTAGCACTACCAATAAAAGCATTCCATATTTATTCTGCCTTCCCTCTTTAACAAATATTTTGTAATATGAGAAAAGATAGAAAAATCACTGAGAAAAAAATAGGAAAATAATACAAATGGAAACTGATACTCTTAAGGTAATCATATGTGCATGTTACATTTGGAAAGTTCCCTTTAATCAGTTGACTCGAAAGCTAGTAGCATTGTTGAGAATAAGTTGGTTACATGAATTGGTTTGAATACCACGTGTTTTTTACTTTAAAATGTACTCTCATTCTATTACTTCAGAGGCTGTCAGAATTGTACTATGACATCCATAGATCCTATCTGAAAGTCGCAGAAGTTGTGAATTCTGAAAAGCGCTTATTTGGACGATACTACCGTGTGGCATTTTATGGCCAAGTAAGTGACTACTGTGGGTGAACTTCCAGCTAAACTACACATTTCCCAATGAATTCTCCTTTTAGAGAGATTGCAGTAAAAAACACATTCCACAGGTGAATATCATAGGGATTGGACTAGTTGACTTGGTATGCTTTCAGTATTGAATATTTATCTATAGTAATATTCATGGAGCAAAATGTAAATTTAGAGTCACATAAAAATAGAAACAAAATATTAGTAGTGGCAATGAGCTGTAAGAATAGCTTTAGAGGTTTCCTCACATTTAGGTTAAGCTTCTACTTTCTGATTTGGCAATGTCCCATTGAAGTGAATAGACCAATGTCTAAATCAATATGCACTAGATCAAGACCTAAGATTATATTATGACAAAGAATTACCACCACCACCCCAATTAGCCACAGTTTTAGATAACAGTTCATATTTATGATTAGTATATTTTGATCTTCTGCAAAAGGTTTGATAGTAAGACACAGAGGAGGTTATCCCAGCTGATATCCCATAATACAAGTTTAAAAGATTTATATTGCCAACGTTATTATATACTATGGCCTGGCAGCTCACAGACAAATTCATTTTTCCTTAAAGCAGAGATCAGAAGGAGCCTCTTCGTTATAACAGCTTGTCATAGTTTGATACTATTGATTATTAAACAAATAAAAGGAAAATGAAGATAAGGCAGTGCAAATATAAAATATATGATGGTATCCAAAATCATCCTTGAAAAAAAGCTGCAAAATAATTGAAGATGTTTTTTCTCCTAATTGATTTGAAATCTATAATCTTTATTAGATATTAGTTTGTGTAGACATTCTAGCTTTGCTTTTTAGTTGGCTTCTGATTCTTGTAGTGCATTGTAGAAGGCTTGCACACTACTCCATATTTCTGCCTACTTATTTTGGTTATAGTATGTGTACATGCTTGCTTCCACAAGACATCAGATGGGACAACAGGCATGTTCTTTGAGGATGAACTTTCCAGGGAAACTTTCCCTCTTTTAAAAAAAAAAAATATGTATGAAATCAGTTCTGAATAATGTTGTCTGCCGATTAGTTTTTAATGCAGAAATCTGCTCTTTTCCTCTTTTGAACTTATTCAAGGCTGTGGTAAGTTATCTATTCTTTTGCATGCTGTTTTGTTTAATTCTTCCTACATCATCCTACTTGTATGATCTTGGTTAACCTTGATTTCTAGCACTTTTTAATATTCACTGTGAGCGATGAAATAACATTGCTTTCACTCATTTATATACTGTGCTGCATCTAGCAAATAATGCTTTTGTTCTGCTTCCTTGAATTATAAAGATGTATCTGTTCCTGTGGCGTTCGTGTACTTGAGGCTTAAATCTGTTCCCATTCTAATGGAAGCAGGTTCAGCTACGTGTTTCTTATCTGAAATGCCCACTGCAAACAGCCTTGCTGCCTATGTCCTGGCAGAACAAGCAAGGTTTCCCAAACTGCGAGGTGCACCTCCCTTGGCAAAGTGCACGGGAGGTGTGAAGAGACTTTTAGTTGTACATTGTTACAACACATTCACCTTTCCCAAAATTTAATTGTATTGTTTTAATTGCTCATTTGCCTCCATTTTGGTGTTTGGATTTTTCAGGGAAGATCTGTACATTAAGACTAAACAGGCAGGTGCAATGGCAAAAAGTGTAGGAACTCCTGTGCTACATTATACTTGCTCTCAGTGACAGTAAAAGTATTTATTTATTTATTTATTTAATTTAATTTATATGCCGCCCTTCTCCCTGCGGGACTCAGGGCGGCGCACAACATATTTAAAACAAAAGCATATATACAATCCCCCCCTGTAAAACCGAATTAAACCAAATTTTAAAGTTGTGTCTTCCAAATTCCTAAAAATGAACCCAGTATAAAATCCTCCCTAGGTCAGGT